TATGTTTATTAGTACTTATAAAGCACATATTCTGCATGACCATGTTCTACATCCAATGTTCCCTCTAATTTTTTTTTTTCTTGCGGAGCAAAACTTTTCTCTATTGGGCACAAATTTTGGCCACCTGAGCAAAAACATTATTTATACCAGACCTGTACAGCACACACACAAAAAAAGTTTGTAACTTTTAACTTAAATGTGCTATTTATATTTGATTTGAACCTTGATGTAACTAAATGATGTACATTTTAGGTTACCTGAGAAAACATAAGCAGTGTTTATAATAAATAATATTATTATTGGCTCAGCGGCCTAGTAAATGTCCTCACTTACGTTATTTGCAGCTTCCATCGTGACGTGAATAACAGCTAGTTAGTTTATCAGTGTATATATTTTTTTTTTTCGAGAGATCCTGACAGCGGGTGGAACTTGTTGTAAAGTTAGTGATAACAAGGCCCACCCATTTAGAGGAAAGATATCATTGGTCAATTTTTCTGTCAGTCGAAATTACTCCCCCATTGATTTACTATTGCTTGGCCCTCTCTAATTTCATAGCTGGACCACCAATCACAGAGCCGCAAACGCTAGGCGGAAACATTCAAATATGGAGAAAATGGGGTGTGTTTATAAGACCATTCACTGAATACGCAGATTTGAAGAGGTTGTTTTTTTTCACAGAAGTTGTATTTGTTTTATTTAGATTGTTTGTCTTTAAAAAAAATAAAATAATAATATTTTTTTCATTAAAAATATATTTTAAAACATTTATTTAAAAATTGTAAATATTGTTTTTACAATAAGTTAGGCCCTCTCTTGATTCGGCTCTTTGTATTAAGCAATTCATGAATACATGATGCTGTTTTGTTCATAATTGTTTATGCAATTTACGAAATTATATTTGATTTATAAATGACGACGCGATATCGACCTCTTTTGGAAGGCCAAACAAAGTAGTTTCGCTTTCACAACGAAACACACAGCGCCTTCACGACATGGCGGTGGCGGCAACAACAATACTACAGCGAGAATAAAAGTTACGCCTTCTTTCTTTGTGTGAACATTTGGGTGGCGTTATGCAAATCTTCCCAGATAGTGACGTAGGTATTTGGGGGCGTGTTAGAACGAGCCGTTTTAGGTAGGTGTGGCTGACTCTTTTATAAAGAATATCTCTTTGGATTTGAGACTTTAGTCTTTGCAACTTTACAGATCTTCTTTATGCACCAAGAGCTTGTAACACTCCAAAGAGAAAGGAAAAATTGAAATCGCATCATATGACCCCTTTAAGACCTATTTAATCTGTACATAAAAAAATTTGAAATTAGATATTTGTTAAATTTTTATTGTGTTTGACTGTTAAAACAAAAAAAATATTTGTTGTTTGTCTCAGTAAATTGGGTTAATTTAAAAATACAGTGGTTAAATTAAAAAAAAAATTCTATTGCTCTTTGTTTTAAAAAAGGTTATAAAAATTGTCAATAAATATCGATACCGAACGATATGAAACATTATATCGTTGATACGCTGATCGTTGCGCCACATTATTTCTTCTGCGCATAGAAGAAGTGCGCGACAGCTTAGAGGGAACATTGTCTACATCCCTACCAAAATACCTAAACTCACAACTACCTTACAAACTATTAATATGCAGCAAATGAAGAGTTTATTGAGGCAAATTCAGTTAATGATTTGTTAATAGTGAGAATTAAACCATAAGATAAAATGTGACCATGCTTTCTTAATATTCTGTGCAATTAATGCACATGTAAAAGTCACTGACACAAAATTATTTCACTCATATCTTTCCTTTCACGCATATTCATTGAGAGTGAGTTGAATTATGAAAGCGATACAGAGGGTAGAGAACAGGTGCATTGTGGCCCTCAGACCAACCAGGTGGAGAGAAAGCTCATGTTTATGAGATCACAGGTTTTATGCTGTACTCTCAAACATGCAAATAATCCCTCAGTTCTAGCAGTAATGACACAATGGAAAAGCATGATTACAGAATAAAGGACATGCTCGCTCACACACTGTTCCTCACTGACTCCATGTAGACACTGGGGGTGCGTGTGAGAACAGCTATGAGGCAAATGTTGACACTGATTTGTAAGTGATCTAAACAGAAAAATGAGCGGAAAACCTGAAAGAAGATCTTTGTAGGCTCGCAGTGCATTCTGGGCCATTCGTATGTGCTCATTATATCCAAATGTTCTGCTCACACTCATGTGATGCTCCATTTCAGGCAATATGAAGAGTGCTAAATAATTCACGAGATGCTGGGATCAAACGTCTGCTTCTGCTTGTGCTCTTCTGAATGCAGAAGGGTGTGTGTTGGTGTTGGTGGGTTAGAATTTGGGGTACTGGGATATCAGTCTTTTGGCGATGTTCAGTATATTCTGTATCTTGATGTATTTGGTCTAAAACGAATGTTTGTTTGTTTGTTTATTTGTTTCTCAGAGGAACCATAATTTTTTGACCAAACATCCATTATAACCATTTAGTTTAGAACTTAAAGGTCCCCTGAAATGCTTAGAAACACGCAGCGTTACTCTATGTGTTGATGTCATTTTAACTGAAACAGGAAGACAGGGCGGGACATATCAAGCAGCCCCGCCTCTTTTTAAAATAGCCAAAAGCGTTCGTTTATATCACAGCTTGGGCTAGAGCCGTTCATAGCCGTTGAGCTCCGTAAAGCCGCATTTGACAGGGTATGCCAGCCACAATCTCATCTATATTGCTATAAAATATAGCATTCTGTGTAGAATTCAAATAGCTCCGATACATTTTGTGGTCTGTGCTGACTCACGCATGTGATCCGCTCTGTGCTATCGTGTCTCTGGACCGGAGTGTGTGTGCGGTGCGGTGGTTAGCGTGACATGTTTGAATCGTTCCCTGTCCCCTATATAGTGCACTACGTGCCATTCTGTCAAAAAAATCGTTGAGCCGTTTTGGCAGAAGTGACGAACGTCTCGGTTACATATGGTAACCCTCGTTCCCTGAAGGAGTAGGGATTTTAAAAAAACACTTTTTATTATTTGAAAAATGTCAGAAATGTGTTTTTTTTTCTAGAGAATTTACAGTTTGTTGTTGTTTTTTTTTGACACAATAATGACAAAAAATATTTTTGAATCAGAGTTTTGGATTGAAATTGATTCAAACTGCTTTGGAAAGACATGAGGGCAAGTAAATGACTAAAGTATTTTCATTTTTGAGTGAACTATACCTTTAATGATTTCATATGTGTGTTAGTGAGAAAATAAATGTTTGATTAACCGATTGATTGATTGATTGATTGATTGAGAAGTCTCTTATGCTCCCCAAGTCTTCATTTATTTGATCAAAATTACAGTAAAACAGTAATATTGTGAAATAGATTTTACCATAGACGATTTTTACCATATCCATAGACTTTCGTAAAACACACACACACACACACACACACACACACACCACTGCACAGAAAATCAATGTTTCTGCTCATTGGTATATTGGGTTGGGTCAGTGTGTCATGATTTTCTCCTCTGGCCTGTGGTCATCAGATTAGCTCCAGACGTCTAATAAAATTGAGTGATAATTTGACATGGTCATTGTGATGTGGGTTAGTGTGCTCACCGGATTAATCTCTGTGGAATTGGCAGGGAATTCCCTACGGATCAGCATATTTCCCAGTCAATCTCTCTCTGACGGATGTGATGTTTTCATTTGGGGCTTCTTATTGCCTTTGAATTTACTCAGGCGTTATGCTTACATTTCCATCAGAAGCTAAAATAAAGTCATTCATGCGTGCCCTCTACACACACACACACACACACACACACAAAGAGGACTGTGTGTGAGAGTGTGAGAGAGTCTATTAGACAGATTCCTGTTTATTCAGTGGGAATCACTGAACAGCGAGAGCTCAGAGGTCAGACTGGGTTACACAGTCACATAGATTTAACCTTCACCTCTCTTTCCTCCATATGTGATACTGTTCTCTGGGTGATCTGTGCGTCTAATAAAATTGAGTGATAATTTGACATGGTCATTGTGATGTGGGTTAGTGTGCTCACCGGATTAATCTCTGTGGAATTGGCAGGGAATTCCCTACGGATCAGCATATTTCCCAGTCAATCTCTCTCTGACGGATGTGATGTTTTCATTTGGGGCTTCTTATTGCCTTTGAATTTACTCAGGCGTTATGCTTACATTTCCATCAGAAGCTAAAATAAAGTCATTCATGCGTGCCCTCTACACACACACACACACACACACACACAAAGAGGACTGTGTGTGAGAGTGTGAGAGAGTCTATTAGACAGATTCCTGTTTATTCAGTGGGAATCACTGAACAGCGAGAGCTCAGAGGTCAGACTGGGTTACACAGTCACATAGATTTAACCTTCACCTCTCTTTCCTCCATATGTGATACTGTTCTCTGGGTGATCTGTGTGTTTATGTGTGTGTGCGTCTGGTTTGGCACATATTGAAGTAGCCAGTGTGTGTTTATTCATATTAACATTTTACTGCCATTTATTCATATTTCCATTCTTCTGTGAAACATGCAAGGAGATGCTAGATTCTCTGAGCTGTTCTTGTTCATACTGTTAAAGTTGATGGTGATATTTAATATCGAATTCCAAAAAGGACTAAAAAACTAGTTTAAATACCATGCATGCCAAGTCTTCAGTCTGAAGCCAAAGACCTTTTGGTCTTTAGAGAACATTTATTGCATCATTCATTCAAACAACGAGACTCTTTGTGAAATGGCTAACCAGCTATTCAGATCCATCGAAACCTTGGTGAAATCTGTGTGTAATGGTGAAGATAGTGTGCTGACTGGTTGTTGAGTTAATTGCCACCTTCGGTACAGTGGAAATAGTGGTCTTGTCTTGAGACCACGAGATCAAGACTCTGATAATTATGGGTTCTGTGAGCATTTACCTCTCAGATTACTCCATTTAAAGAGATTACATTTTCTCAATCTAAGTGAATTCTCTTTCTTCTTGTCGGTTCTCCAGATCTGGATAAGCCTGTGCTCACAGTGCACCAGACGGTGGGTGATGTACGAGGGAACTACTATCAGGAGAAAACAGTGTTTTTACGCTGTACGGTAAACTCCAACCCTCCTGCTCGCTTTATCTGGAAACGAGGAAATAAACCAATCGAACAGAGCAAAGACAACGGAGTGGATATCTACGAGCCTCTGTACACACAGGTACAACATTATCATGACTTCTGTTGTTGTTTTAGTGAGGTAATGATATTTTATAGACCTTAATCCTATACCTATACCTATACCTTTAAAATACATTTTTTGTTTTTTTAAACACTATTTAATTTAATGTAATTGTATTTAATTGTATTTTATTTTATTGATTTTTTTTTTTTTTGGGGGGGTGGTCTCTGGGTGTGCCGAAAGGGAGTTTAAGTTCCCCAAACTGAAGTAAATCCCAAACCTCTCTTACACACAGCTGGACAATATGCATGATTTCTCTATAGGCCTTATTTCCCCTAAAACAGAAAATAGTTTAATTAGAGTTAATAATCATTTGAGTAGCAGATAACCACAGGAGACGCGCTTAATCACAGAGAAATGTACTCAATAAATCAGCGATCCATCAGTGATGAATTCATAATCTGAGCACTTATTATTAAAGAGCCATTTGAATAAGGTGGGATGGATGGAGATTGATGGCTTTGCTATTAATAATGAGGATTATTCATTCTCCTGATGGACGCAGTCAAAAGAATGAGATTAATTTAAAATTCCTGAATTCATTCTCTCTTTATCATGCACACAAATTGACATTGAAAAATGACATTGCATAGAAATACAAGGGTCATTCATAGGAAACGACATGGTACCTTTTGTGCCCCATTAGTGCTCACATGAATTACTACTGACATATTTTACAGTATACAGAACTTAGTCTCATTATTTGATGGATTGAACCTTGTTTAGTGTGTAATGCACAGGAAATTCCGGAATGTTTTTTTTTTTTTTTGGAATATCAGCCAAATTTAATGTCCCAATTGAACCCAATTGTATTTGAATGGATAATATAGAATTTAATGTAACTATATTTCAATTTTGTTTTGACATTGGAATATTATTCAAATGTATTAATTTACATTAACTTGAACCCTGTTATGCTGTGACATTTCCTGTTTCTGACATCATATTTGAAGAAATGACATCATTACAGTTGGTTTCAGTTAAAGTCAGCTACTTTATATTGCAACCTTTATGAGTGTGTTTTTTTGTAGTATTTCGTAGTTTGCACTTCTGTTACACTCTGTGATGCCCCAGGTGGGAAAATGTGTTTTCATATTTTAAATATGAATTACTCAATAGTAGTCAAATTATACAAAAAGAAAAATTCTAAAAGCACAAATGACACTGTTTCCGGAGGATGACCGACAAACAACATTTTGTTGTCATTATGTATAAATGCCTGTTTTGACTAACAGATGTGTGAATGTGTGTGTGTTTGCAGGGTGAGACAAAGGTGCTGAAACTGAAAAACCTCCGTCCACAGGACTTTGCTAATTACACCTGTCAGGTGTCCGTCCGGAACGTGTGTGATATTCCAGACAGCTCGGTCACCTTTCGCCTTGCCAACACCACTAGTGAGTTCCCGTTTACGCTCAAACGCTCACATTCACTCTCTTTCCGTCATTATACAGCAGCTGTAGTGAGTTTTGCATATGAATTTTGTGCTTTTTTTAATTTTGCTCATTTTATTACAGGGACAAATTAACTGCGTATGGAATTTCGTTTCTGCCGTTAGTTTTACAGAAACTTTAGGAGTGCCTGTCTTTTCTCCTTCAGTTCTTTTTATTATTTTTCTCCTCAAATGTTCCTTTTCCCCTGGATATGTGTTGACCTGTCATGATCCTTCAGAAATCATTCTAATATGCTGATTTGCTGCTAAGGAAACATGAAAAGAGGAAACCGTGATAGATTTTTTTTCAGGATTCCTGAATGAAAAAGATCAACATTTATTTACAATAGATTTTTCGCCAACATTATAAATGTCTCTACTGTCACTTTTTTGATCAACCTAATACATCCTTGATGAATAAAAATATTAATGTCTTTCAAGAAAAAAAATCCTTTCAATGATTCTTTGTCAACTTTCCCTTGTGACAACTAGCCCCAGTCTCTCTTATATATGCTTTTTCACATGCTGTCAAGAGGTTTCATAAGGTATCTTTAGTAGATGGTATTTCACACTGAAGTCCTATGAAAGCTTACAATATATTCCAATAGAAAACTGTTATTTTAAATTGAAATAATATTTCACAATATTACAGTTTTTCTGTATTGTTACTTTCAAATAAATGCAGCTTCAGTGAGCATAAGAGACTTTCAAAACATTTAAAAAAATCTTACTGATCTCAAATTTTGAGTGGTAGTGTATATCATTCTGCTATCTATTTATAACAACATTAATTTAACATCCATACATTTATATTCTATCGTATTAAAAGATTTATTAAGAAATGTTGTCAAAAAAGGAATAATAAGTGTAAAATATATTCTTTTATATTCTTGTTATATTTTTCCTTTTTGACTTAATATTTCATGTTTCAGATTCAGATGAGTGTCTGTTGAATCAGAATTTATCAGTGAAACAAAAATTGATGCCTAGCTGTCATTTTGAAGGTTTCTTAAACAAATTTTATATAAAAATGTCTCAAGATTCAGCGTATTATTTAATGAGATGTACAAACTGATATTTCTTTCAGTTTGTTCATCACACTGGAAATTGAAGGTCAAATCGAGCATGGGATACAGTATCCCATGCACTTTCCTCTGTTGTGTACTTCACATTTTAGCAAATGCAGTAGGCCATCATTCTGTGTATACAAAAGTTTGCGAACTCTGCAAAGTGTGCATACTACATAGTGCAAGTACTAGTTTGTGATGTTATGATTAAATGGTAAAATCACTGGAACACACAGTTTCAACTGGCTTGTTGCTTTAATAGAAATCCGAGGAGACTCAAAAGGAGTCTGTTTGCACTTGGTTCACTAGTATAAAAAATGTATCATATGCAATATTTATTTAAATCAAAGGCAATTTAATGACCTTTATCACTGATTACATTTTAAAAACCTTTGGGGTTTCAGCTCTATGCATGTATCAGAAGATAAAAACAAATACACCTACTATACTTTTGTTAATACGTCAGTGTTTTGTGTTTAATTATATGTTTATGCACTGCATCGTTCATGTAGACGTACAGGCACCATCTGTACAGATCGTTCAAGAGGAAACAACTGATGTGACTCAATCTCGCTCAAATGAAGCTTTAATTGGATAATTGTATGGCTGGGATTGAAAGAGCTGTTGAAGATCGGGAAGAGAGAGAGAGATTGTCCTTATTCAGAGAAAGGAGCCAACCTGGTGGAACATTTTTCCCTTTCAAACAGTCCCCCCCCCCCCCCCCCCCCCCTCTCCATCT